TATATGCATCTCAAAGATTTTATCAATATTCATCAGTCTGAAATGTTTATGTATTTGAAAACAACGCTGTCTCGCTCCTTCCTAGCTCTGTATAATGAATATACCGTCAAAATAATATCGGCACTTCGAAGATTTTCTCAATATTTATAATTAGGTCTGAAATGTTTTATATACATTTGGAAAAAAGCACTATCTAGCTCCTTAATTCTTAGGTCTGTATAATGAATATACCGTCTAAGTAATATCGGTACTTGACTGAATGCCCGTAATGAATAACATCAAATTGCGTAGACTCTCAAAGATTTACTCAATATTCACATCTGAAATGTGTATACATTTGAAAACAACACTGTGTCGCTCCTTCCTAGCATCGTCACGTCATCGTAGGCATCTACGGTTTGATAGCGCATGCGCATTTGCGCTGCTAAAGAAAAATCGAGTGTTCCGGGGTAAAGATCTTTTACACAACATGAGAAGCGAATGTTATAAAATTTACAAAAAATTACAATAACGACAACCACTCCTCAAAATTTTTGTGAACTTGGCAAAAGGACAAAAGAATATTTAAATAAGACAACTGAAATTGCCTAAATAACCTTCAAAGCACTGACTAAGTACAATAAATCACTACGAACATATATCGTATACACCCCCCGGAAAGTTTACACTATTATGCCTGATCCCTGACTCATATGAATTTTCCCCCACTCATCACAATACTTGTCAAGTTTCGAAGAAACTTGACACTAAAAAGGAGTCGTTCTGTACCTTTTTTATTTACTCCACTTTTGGAGTCAATTTGACTCCTTTGGAGACAAAATGACTTCTATATATCGGAGTAAAGAAAAGTCTTTAACTAACTTTAGAAATCAATAAAGACATTTTTCGAGTCAAAATAATTTATTATCCCTACAAGTAAGGTATATTATAGCAGGAAATACAATTTGCTGTAGCATAATATAATGATATACTCTTACGCCCTATAATATTTTAATGAAGTTCTAAATTGATTAGAATGACATCATGAATACATGATTAGAATGATATCATGAACACATGTGGAATACAATTACAAGCCTGTCAGCATGAATTGAACCTGCAGCCCTGCAATTCTACCGCAGCTCTCTGACCTAAAGAGCCCTTTTTCCAAGAGGTAACCACAAGTTGCTGTATATATACCATGGTGGTGTCATTGGTAGTGTATTAAATAAACTGCGCAGAATGACACTAGTATTATATACATGAACTCTTGGTTACAGTAGAGCTTGATTGACTCTCAGGGCGATGGACTCTTAGGGCTTCAGGACTCTTAGGGCTTCAGGACCCTTGATGGTTAAAAAGCTGATCAGAATCACCTGTAGGGCAGCAGGTTCCATTCCCAGCACAGTACCGGCTATTACGTAGTTATCGTTCAAAAAATTTACATTTACAGAAAAGCTTTAACCCATTAAGTGGCAGCACTCTCTCCTTAATGAGCAAAAATTGTCTGACCACATTAGACAGAAAAAATAAAAAAGTAAAGCAAATTGCCACTTAAAGGTTTAATATTCTGTTCAATGTAGAATATTTACAAGTAAAATATACTGCATGTATTAAATGTATGTAGTATCACTTCTCAATCAAACATGTCAAGCAAGTCCATTAGTAAAAATTTAGTACAAAACAAGCTGTATACCACAAGTCGGCAACTCCATCCCTTGCATGGTTTGGTAATTCACAAAAATGCTCTCCAGCAAAAGAATAACATTTTCCAAATAGACCATGAAGTTCTTAGAATGCCATTAATGATTACATATAATACCACTTGTTTAGACAACTTGCCTTCTCCTGGGAAGCTTCTGTTAAATCCATATATTAATGACAATACCTAGTAAGGAAAATATATATAAGGTTGATATATAACAGCAGCAAATTATTGATTGATGTTTGTGATGTTACTCTGAGTGTGCATCCACACCGGGCAAGCTGAAAAGTTAGTTTGGGCACGGTGGGAATCGAACCTGCGGCCTTTGGGATACTAGTCCAATGCTCTACCAACTGAGCTACATGGTCAAGTCTGTTCGAGTTGATGATATTTTGGAACTGAGTCTAGTTCCTTCGATATATCAGTGTACAGGGGTATTCAATGATACGATTATTTTGTGTGTGTTGGTGTCATGTACTCAGGTGAATATATGATGTTTGTGATGTTACTCTCACCAGTAGCGTAGCCAGCCCGACTATTTGGTCCCGCTATGCAAATATTTTCATGTTCATTGACTGTGAAAACAATCAATTTCTAAAGAAATGAATAATGATAATAATTTTGAATTTGCATAGTGAGACTAAATTGTCGGGCTGCATGGCTACGCCACTGACTCTCACCGAGTGTGCATCCACACTGGGCAAGCTGAAAAGTTAGCTTGGCCACGGTCACAGGTTCGATTCCCACTGTGGCCAAGCTAACTTTTCAGCTTGCCCGGTGTGGATGCACACTCACAGTAACATCACAAACATCATATATTCACCTGAGTACATAACACCAACACACACAAAATAAAAATTATTGATTGATTGACAATGAATTTGCTATTTTTGGTTGTTTGCATATATACAAAGCAAGAAATACAAAATTCAAATGCTTTTACTCATTTATTGTAAGCATGCAATTGAACTAACATCATCCAAATGAATACAACTTTTCTGGTAAAGGGTGTTATAGAGGTGCATAATTGACCCAAAATTCATTGTCCCAAAATCTTGCTAATGCCAAGCTAGGATTTTCCATATAAATTATATACAATCACCCACGATTTGGCACGGTATTACCCCTAGGCCCAGCTGGGTTAAAAGATCTCTGTGATCGTTTTTGTCAGTTTATACATTTCGAGACTGTCTGCAAAAGTATGAGTGATTGATCACTTGTTGGTTCACTTTATTGGGAAATGTACTTCTACTATATAACTCAGTCTGGGTGATTTGTTTTGGCAAGCTTGCCCATCTAAAGAGGCTCATGTAACCAGACATTCATCCAGGGAAAGCGAGGTATAGCCAGGTTACCTGGGTGGCTCGCCTCTATATAAGCACAAGCCATACACTGGGTAATATTAGATGGCTATTGCAATGCTGTCAAATGTGACTGCATTTCAAACAGATCACATATATATATTAAAGTATACATATTTAATTAACACGAAATACAACATGCATGTATATCACACAAATAAAACCCCGTTTACACGAGCAAATTTTATTTGACAAATTTCATATGTCAGAGATATTTTGCTCGTGTAGATGATAAATTTGTGACAAATTTATTGTGACAAATGCATTTGAACAACAAGTGCTTTTGATGAAATGAAATTTGTCAAATAAAATTTGCTCGTGTAAACGGGGCTAACAACACATATAAGTAGAGACTGTAGATTAGACTTATGGACTTCTGCTAATACAAATTAATCGAAAATTAAAACTGAACGTCTAGATCGGCAAATCGGCGGCGAAGCGACTAAAATACAGGCCTTCGTCTTCGATTTAAAAATACAACTATACAGTATATCAAGTAACTTTCCGCAGACAAATAAGTAAATACACAATAAACATACCTTTGAAAACAAATTCCATGTATCTTATTAGGTCTTTGGAACTTTATAAGTAGAAAATTTGAATAAATATCATTCCCCTTTGAATGTTTGCTCCCGAAGGATTGAACTTGGCGCTTGGTCTTTGTGTGAACCAGATCGAATTACTACAACACGTGATATATTCTAAACATGCTAATTGGTTGAAAATCTGGAACTTCCACTTGTCGCAAATTATATTCAGCAGAATTCAGCAGCAGAACATTCCACACGTTCAAATTACAGATTTAGGCAGCAAATAAAAAAATATAGATGACTCGCTGACAATTTCTGGCTACATTCGATCGCCGCGTGCGACGGAAGCCGATATACAGTATAATACATCAATGGCATCAATCTGACTTAGCAACATTCGAGTAACCAAAAACGTAAAATTAAAAAAAAAGACTTTATATCTCGAACTTCGTGCTTTTCGCATCTGACTGTATTCAATACTTTAATAGAGTATAGCCTCCAGCAGAAAAACTCTTGGATTCTAAGCACATTAATTATATATTGTAATAATTTACTCCAGATCCAGAACAATTTTACTCTTTTTTGGGAGTTGAAACGACCCCTGGAGTAAAATTAAGGAGTACAAATTACTCCATAATTTCTACTCCTAAAAGCGAGTTTAGTTTACTCCTCCAGCGGAGTTAAATTGACTCCTGATGGAGTAAATTGTAGAATGCGCGCCGAAGTGGAGTAGTTTTAACTCTATTTTGGGAATAGATTTTACTCCACAATTTTTACTCTCCCGAGTTGAGTAGTTTTAACTCCTATGGTGGAGTTAAAATAACTCCTTGAAATTAACAGTGTGTATATATATATATATATATATATATATATATATATATATATATATATATATATATATATATATATATATATATATATATATAATTTAATTTCTTAACTTAAAATATAGTCACAACTCTGAGTTTCACGCTCAATGCGATCTTCAGGCAACAATGTTTAAATCTCAATCTTAATTGAGATTTAAACATTGTTGCCTGAAGATCGCATTGAGCGTGAAACTCAGAGTTGTGACTATATTTTAAGTTAAGAAATTAAATTATTTGCTCTACGTTATTAAATGGTATTGAGCACTCTTTCTACACTGTAAAATTTGATCATCTTTGGTCTCATTAATATATATATATATATATATATATATATGTTTAATATAGTTGAATATGCGTGTATATATATATATATATATATATATATATATATATATATATATATATATATATATATATATATATATATATATATATATATATATATATATATATATATATATGTATATATATATATATGAGTAGGTTTGTGTATACGAAACGCAAAGAGTGCTCAATATCATAAAGATAGAGCAAATGTAGAATTTCGCTTACCTCAAAATTCCGCAACAGTCTGTTTCATCAGTAAAGAATCAGTAAAGAATCATCAAGCGGTGATGTAAAGAATCATCACCGCCTGATGATTCTTTACTGATGAAACAGACTGTTGTGGAATTTTGAGGTAAGCGAAATTATATATATATATATATATATATATATATATATATATATATATATATATATATATATATATATATATATATATATATATATATATATATATATATATATATATATATAATTTCGCTTACCTACCTTCTCTACGACCTTCTAGAGTTTTAAGCTTATATTCCATTAAAGCGTCTTCATATGATAACTCAGGAAGCATTGCTCGAAGAGCTCCTTTTGAATACGCTCAATATCACGTGGTTGCTCATTTGTTAGATTGCCATGCCAAATGTGCACAACACTCAAGGGTTGATCTGATAACAGACGTATATGAAAGGCTTTTGCAACTGTTCCTGGTTAGGTCTTATAAATATATAAAATGGAATGTCTATCTATAAAATGAGTGTAGATGGCCAAAATCCCGTTCTTTTATGTGGGTTGTTACTTCATGTACTACACACGCAAAAACGCACAAACAAACCTGCAGCAGACTTGTAGCAATGCTGTTCCAACAACAGGTGTGTTCACACTCACTGCTTGTTCCCAGCTTGTTGGCAATTGTTGTCAACGGCTTGCATGGGTATTTAAGAAGCCACGATTGCAACTTTAGATCACCCCTCATGAAGACACTATAGACTGGAGTGTCGAAACGTTGGGTCTTGATTACAATTCGACTGTGGGCTTTGTAATAATTTATTTAAACCAGAGCAGCGAGCGAAAACATGATTGATATACCTGCATGGTTACAGCTAGTGAACTTACAAACTTTGTTACAAGTTGTTCCAACAACTTGTTATCGTCCATGCAATTCAACAATTTGTCAACAAGTTGTGAGTGACAACCTTGTAGCACTTTATATATATGAGATACGTATTATAATAATTAAAAAACAATAAAATGCATTCCATTTGGATCGACAAATCAACAATTTTTTCCATGGGCATTCATAATAGTTTTCTATAAGTAGCTTAAACGCAGCACCGCCTTACAAATTAAACTTAAAATTGCCATTCACGTCTTGATTTCAGTGGGCACGCCGGCACAATATCGAAAATTGATACATGCCGCGAGCAGGTGACAATTAAGTTTTGTAGACATATTAAATAATATTTATATTTGGAGAAAACTTGATTAATGCATTATTCATTACTCGGGGGTGTGCGAGTCCGGAATTCGATAAATGAATGCTTTTACAGTAACTAACTTTATTTATACTGGATAGCTCTATCAGTTCTAAACTGTCCTTTTTAGAGATCGTGTAAGGAACACCATCGGAGTACCTATAACGTTAACAATATAGTATTGATAATAAATATGGTATTGAGTTAGTTATCTTACATATAACTAACTCAATACCATAAAGATAGAGCAAATATAGAATTTCGCTTACCTCCGCTTTTTGAGGTGAGCGAAATTATATATATATATATATATATATATATTTAAGAAATAGAAAACATTTTCCGTGTTTCTATAGAGTTATAGAAACACTTGTGCTAGTTTGGGAGAACGAGAAATAATCAGTGGGAACACGAGTACGTAGTGCGAGTGTTTCCACGTTATTTCGAGTTCTCCCAAACTAGCACGCGTGTTTCTATAACTCTATAGAAACACAGGAAAAAATGTTTTCTATTTCCTTTATTAAATAACCTTGTGATAATAACACAAAAACAATATTTTTAACGCGATTAAAAAGTATATTCTCATTACACAATAACAAGAAAATGTTGCCTAGCAACAATACCGGCATCAATTTTCAGTTTTGCCGACTGCAAAATTATGGAAAAAAACACGCTGAAAAAGTTGATTTGAAGAAAATTTAAAGCGAAAAAACGTTTGGTAAGTGTTTTCCATTGCTTGTTTAACAAAATTTCAGGTTGACGAAGATTTTTAATCGATATTTCAGGCGAAAACGTTTGTTTTAGTGTGTTGTTTTGAGGTTCGATCGTGGAAAATTCCCGTGTTCTATAGCGTTATAGAAACACGGGATTTTTCGCTTTTCAACCAATCAGCGCAGGCGTTATTAAAATATATATATATATATATATATATATATATATATATATATATATATATATATATATATATATATATATATATATATATATATATATATATATATCGAAGTACCCAAAGAAAACCTATACTCATGTGCTTGGTAAAGTGAAACTGGGTATATAGGGTCTATAATGGGTACTTAATTCGAGTATACTGTGCATGTATTTACTTCAAAGTTATGACTAAGTTGGGGTATTAGGTATAGAGTCTTCTGGTAGTTTTAGGTACCTATTAATACTGTCAAAATGTTACAAAATATTTTGATCCATATTTATCAGGTATTTAGGATACCACAACCCCAACCCCCCCTGGCTGACCCCTACATAAATCACAATCTGTTCTTGTCGAAACTGGCCGTTGGCCCTGTATTATAATCATATAAGGAATTATACCTTTTTTCCTATAGGATAAGAGTATTTTTTCACATCCTTGTCTGTCAATAACAATGGCAATGTTGTACAAAAGCCAGTGCCGAAAAACGTAATCTTTTTCAGTATGTGTAGATTTTTCCATAATCAAGTACGTATATTATATGCATTGCGGCCTACAGGCCTCGTACGCCTAAAGTCGAAACAATCGCAGTTCGTTAAGCTGTGTTTGATGTTGCCCAGCAAAACTATCTTATCAGTTGTAGAATATTTAAGTTCGTTAGCAAAGTTTGAGCCTTTTGTGTGCTAAGTGTCATGACGGAACGTTGTAAATATTTTAACTAAATAATAACAGTATGACCTCCTATATCAAATTAGATTGAACTAATCTAAGTTCAAAGTCGGTTAGCGAAAATATATTTCCTATATATATAATATCTTCCTCTAAAGTAAATAGATTATTTAATTCGCTTCATTTCATTTACTTCTCATTAAATTCTGATGTGTCATTACTCGCTTTAATCTTATGTAAATTAAACTGCTCACGTATACACTTGCATTTATGACTGATATGATCTCAGCGTAGGTTAGTATTCTGCAATAAGCTGCATCTATAGTGCCTGACTGGGCTACCTGAAAAAAGATACCTTAAACGTGGGGGTCCAGTGTAGGTAGTATTACACCTGCACGGACCTTTTCTCAAGGTTTTAAAATAATTGAGAAGAAAGTGCCACCTTTACATTGACATAAGTAAATGGTTACACTTTCGTGTGTTCTCGGATAAGGACGTTAAAATCGTATGTAACCTCGGATCCCCTATCATGAGTGAGAAACTCAGTAAACATAAACTACCGAATAAGCTGCCGTGGTTTGTGTCTGAACTACCTGAAAAATATATCTCAAACGTGAGTGCCAATGATGTAGTATAGTGTACAATTTTACACTCGTTGTTAAACGCTGAATTAGCCTGCGTAGCAGGCGCTATTTAGGGGGGGGGGGACGGCGAGGGTGCTGATTCAGTTCCCTCAAACATTTCTTACAAATCTTTCAAAACTGTCGCCTGTATTCTGAAAGCACACTCAAAGAGTGGAGGTTCAATCTGAGCTTTCCTTGAGTGTCAGTGCTGTTTTTGAATAGCTGGAGGGGGAGTACAGTCACATAGTTGAAAGTTCGACACTAATTCTCCAGCTATTCAAAAACAGCACTGACACTCAAGAGAAGCTCAGATTAAACCTCCACTCTTTGAGTATGAGTGTGAGTGAGCTTTTATAATGCAGGCGTAAGGATTCACCTATCGAAAATTCCTACTGCATGTGATCATAGAAACTTTGATAGTCTAAACCAGCCTTTATATACCCCCTATCACGTTTTTGAATTTTTCACGTAATCCCTATATATAGATACAATCCTACCGCTGCCACCAGCGAATGAGGTTGTACAAGCAAGCAAGATTTTTATGACAACTGAGTTTTCACGATATGGCAAGTACGTTGACGCTTTACTTGTATTTATATAGTTTCAGGTTTTTCAGGTGTTTTTGTCACAGACCGCGTTCGAGTTTATATAGGAAAACATTCACTTGATCTTTCAAACAAAGAGGCAGAACACTGAGAGATGACCGCCCTACATGGGTTTGCTCTTAGACTACTGCTACTCCTATACTAATTCTTTGACAAAGGAGAATGGCATTTTCTTAGAATGTCGGAATTCTCCTTTTAATTCCAAGACCACTAGTGGCACTAACACTGTAATTCCAGGGGGTCAAAACGGCCCCACAAAAGAGTTAAAACAACTTCATAAGGGTTATCATGCAGGCATGTCTAGCCATAGATCCATTTTGATGGAAATGTGCTCGACATGTTACTAGCTTTCTGTTACAATTCTACAGGGGGTAGCTCTATCAAGGGTCGATTACATATGTGAAGGCCGGATATAGGGCCATTCATCGGATAGTGAAACCGTTATAAAATGCTTTAAAATTAGCTATATAAAAACATACGCATATACAGACTTAACAATTAATAAAAACATACTTTTATTTATAAATAGTAAGGTTTACTCTGATTTATACTAATCGACGAGCAATTTCAGAAAGCTTGGAAAAATCACTATAACTACTGTATAAGGCTTTCGTATATAGGAGATCTCTCTTTAGTCCAATTGTTTTATAGGAACTGTTCATAGAATATATACTGCCTATACACTGTCATAGAATATATACCGATGCTAAGCATATGATATGGAGGATGAAACTACTGACGGTTTTCATTTGTTTGTTTGAATTGAAAACAGGGCCAGACTACGGGTTTCATTTTTTTGTAGTTGAATTTCACAATTTTCAAGGAATCTGTTTATTTTATAATGAAACTTACTCCGATTTAATCAATTTATTAAACCGAAGAGCCCGTTGCTATATATTAATGAACGCCTTCCCGCTCTCGCTGTGTATATATATATATATATATGTTGTTTAGTTTCCAATTTATATTTATAATAGTCCTTACCTGTTTTGAAAACGGCTTCGTTTTACTTGTGGATCCGGCTAAGATCTTCCTCGGTTGCTAGCGCACGGCATACTGAAAGTAAATTGTACAAAACATCGCGAGAAAAAGGTCGTTCCACTTATATTATCTGATAAATCTATTATGAAGCAATGCTAATAGCATTCTTGTAATCTTTTAACTACGAAAGCACCTGTTTTTTCCAAATGCTATAATATGAATGGACAAAAAGACGAAATAACGATAAGCTAGATTGAATAGCTAGATACGAATTCTGATAATAATTGTATTCAAGGCTATATAGCCTATGCCGGAGCTTCGTTTCGTAGCGGCCCGGAGTGCGAATTGGCAATTGAATCGGTGTCAACCACTTGCGAAATGTGTGGAATAAGGGGTTCGGTGCCGTAATTATAGGAATCAAAGAATCCCGACTGCAGCGGTCTGTGCTTTGCGCGAAACATGTCTTAATATATTCATAAGGGATGCATGTTTACGACGCTCATGGCTATATGACAATGTTCCTGATTATAAACGCGCGTCGCTGTTTTTACTCGATTCTAAACTAGCTCATGATTGTACCGACTTCAATAAATATTTTATAAGACAATCAAATTATTTGATATTGTGCCCATGTAGCTAGCTGTATATACGGGGGAATTAATTTCACCTGGTTTTTAATCCGTTACCGATTTTTCACAAAATCAAACTATGCTGTAGTATATTGAATAGCTTCACAGTTGCCCTCAGGGAGAACAGTCCTTGGACTGAAGGAGTTGCCTTGGTGATATAAAGCTTACGAGCTTTATCATGCATCCAGTTCTAATCTAGTCTACGTATCTTTATTGGTACACAGGAGGAAACCTAAACTGATTTTATTTATACTGGATAGCTCTATCACTTCCGATTTATTCTTCCTAGTTGTCCAGTTTTATAGTTCAGTGTTTCTTTAGGAGGAAACCTAAGCTAACTTTATTTATACTGGATAGCTCTATCAGTTCCGATTTATTCTTCCTAGTTGTCCAGTTTTATAGGTCAGTGTTTCTTTGGGGGAAACCTAAACTGATTTTATTTAGGCTGGATAGCTCTTTCAGTTTCACATCATTCTTCCTAGTTGTCCAATTTTATAGTTCAGTGTTTCTTTAGGAGGAAACCTAAGCTAACTTTATTTATACTGGATGGCTCTATCAGTTCCAAATTATTTTTCCTAGTTGTCCAGTTTTATAGTTCAGTGTTTCTTTAGGAGGAAACCTAAACTAACTTTATTTATACTGGATAGCTCTATCGCCCAGTATCGGTTTCAAATAATTCTTCCTAGTTTCCAGTGTTATAGTTCAGTGTTTCTACAAAAGGAAAGCAAAATTGATTTTATTTAGACTGGATAGTTCTATCTGTTCCAAATTATTCTTCCTAGTTATCCAGTTTTATAGTTCAGTGTTTCTTTAGGAGGAAACCTAAACTGAACTTTATTTATACAGGATAGCTCTATTAGTTTCAAATAATTATTCCTAGGGGTTGTCCAGTTTTTTCTGTCCAGCGTTTCTTTAGGAGGGAACCTAAAACGGTCCGTTCTTCACATCTACATTGTCCAATTATTCGAACTTCTAATCGTGCAGTACTTACTTCTAATCAAGTAGTGGTGGGCGGCTGCTCCGGTTTGGGTTGCATGTTAAGAGAGGGGACTACTATTAGTCTATTAGCAATCTTAGTTTTCAACCGCATTTTCAATTTTTAACAGGTTTGGTTTGCTGCAATATGTCGTGAACTTGGGGGAATGATGACACATTTAAATGATTAAATGATTTGATCGCACTCAAGAAGGGGAGTTACCTTAATAGGAAACTGAAGTGCCTGTAAGGTAAGGCTCATCCCAGGCATGTATAGGCCTTGTACCATCCTTGTTCCCCATATCTTCTCATTCTCGTCCCCAGAGCCATTTTCACTTGGTCATTCGCTGAAAATTAGGCTCTGGGTTAGACAACTAAAGGGAGAGATCTGATTGGCTTCTCGGAGAAATGCTATTTCGCAGAAGTTGAGCAGTTTTTGCTAGGCAAAATTATTCTATCAAAACATGTCAACACAAACACTTCGTTCTTCGTAATACTTCTCTGTGAAAATTGTTACGGGTGCTGAAATGTCCCAATTCAAGAGTATGTGCTAGTTAGAAACTACTGCAAGTTTTCGTACACTTCCGGTTCCGTGTGCCCCAGGGCCTATGAAGGTCGCGTGCGGCCGAGAGGTCCTGGGAACGAGGATGAGATCTTGGTTGCATAGATATAGGAGATCTAGATTGCTAACGCATACCTAACGCAGGCGGGGCCTACATGATAAATCCAAGATGGCGGTACAAGAGGGCAAAAAGACTATAGATTCTATTACGAAAATCAAGATTTTTGCATTTTTTGCCATCGCATTGTTTTGAAACTTATTCGGTCAAATTTTATTGTAAAGAGAAACTTACCGCGAAGATTTTGAGCATATATATGATTGAATTGGATGAAAACTCGCAAAATTATCCAGCGATAAAAGTTCGTGTGAAATGGTCAGTTGGTCAGTTGGAGCGTTTTATTGCCAGAAATACTGTGCTATGTTAACATCTAGTCTTGTGAATGGTGTTTTATACTTGCATCTTTCGCTGGATAATTTTGCGAGTTTTCATCCAATTCAATCATCTATATGCTCAAAATCTTTGCGGTAAGTTTCTCTTTACCATAAAATTTGACCGAATAAGTTTCAAAACAATGCGACGGCAAAAAATGCAAAAATCTTGATTTTCGTAATAGAATCTATAGTCTTTTTGCCCTCTTGTACCGCCATCTTGGATTTATCATGTAGGCCCCGCCTGCGCTAGGTATGCGTTAGCAATCTAGATCTCCTATATCTATGCTTGGTTGTTTGTATTACGAGTAGCCCTGGGAACGAAGATAGCCTTGTATTTGCATTTCTGCGCAATATTGAAACAAGAGGACTCGATATATCATAAAGATAGAGCAGATAATGTTGTATAGTTACCTCGCAAGGTTGCCACAACAAACTACACACGAGTGTGTTTTTGTTTACGAAATGCTAAAGATTTCTCGATATCATATACGGATGAGGAGATCCAGATACCGTAGTTTAATACTAAAATAAAGTTATCGCGGAATGATAGCGGTAACTTTATAACTATTTTTAACTATAACGGAATGATAGCGGTAACTTTAATTGAAGATTAAACTCTATATATAGTCAATATCTTGTGTTTTTAAAGATGTTTTCGATTTTTGTTTTATACTGTATTTCCTTAAATTATCGGCTGGTTCACCTCACAAAACATTAGCTTGCAAATGGAGAATCTACGCTTAGAAACAGATTACACCTGCCAAAGAAGCTTAGGTCTCGATCTTGGCTCCTACTTCATTTAGTTTGAAGAAACTAACGAAACCCGATGAAGAATGAACTATCATTTTGTAATTTCATGAAATAGTAGCAAAACAGTGATGCTCAGAGCATGCAAAAACTTATTGAGAATAAATTCTTTTTACGCGAAATTACTTTCTTTTTACAAGGCTCACGACTTTCACTGTTTTTGTAAAAGCACAACTAATGTAGCATATTTTATTATATTTGCTTTGTGTCTTCAAGTAAACTAATATTTCAAAACGAGAACAAGTATATAGTAATTTTTTCTGTGTTGGTGTAGTGTACTCAGGTGAATATGATGTTTGTGGTGTTACTCTGAGTGTATATTCACACCGGGCGAGCTTGAAAAATATGCCCGGCCACGGTGGGATTCGAACCTACGACCTTTGGAATACTAGCCCATTACTAGCCCATATAGTACATTAGTATTCAGCTGACTCCCCAATTGGGGCTTTTCAATGACCAATTACATCAAGTATTAGTCCAGTGGTACCTAAATTACTTTGAATTTGTACTCAAGTAAAAGTAAAAGTAATTAGCAATAAAACGACTTGAGTAAGAGTAAAAAGTACTCGAGGCAAAACGTACTTAAGTAAAAAGTACAAAGTATCCTTAAAAAATACTTGAAGTAAAAAGTAAAAGTAAAAGTATTATTGTCTGTTGCGTGGAGGGGGGGGGGGGACTTCTCCAATGGATGACATATACAAGACACAAAACATCACACGCATTATATGCGTGCACCTAATATACAGATATTTCACGGCATGGTCTACTTCCCAGACCCGGTTGAAGATTTGAAGAAATCCATTAAATAATTAATGCTTATAAGTAAGCCACAAACAAGAGATCCCAGACGCATGTAGAGTTCCTATTACCTGTCTGAGTCAAAATTAAAATAAGTCCGGAATAAATCACGTAAAATTAAACAAAAGTTAGAAAGTAACGAAATGCTTCGCCACAAAATGAAAATAACGAAGTAAAACGTTACTTCTTAAAACGACTTCGTTCCAAGTAAAAGTACTCCAGCAAAAGTTTACTTTGTTACATGCTCACTTCTCAAAAATAGTACTCAAGTACAGTAACGAAGTACATTTACTTCGTTGTTTGAACCACTGAGTATTACGCTTATTTATGTTACTTAGCCCAGACTATTTATATTTACAACAATTATATGATTACCTTCTTAACTATGCTGACAAAATATCGATATCCTAACTGACAAAATATCGATTCTTGGTTTAACTATCACAAAGGACTTGAAATGGAACGATCACGTGGAAAAAATAGTCAATAAGGCATCCCAGTGAATTTACCTGTTGAAACAGCTCAGAAGGTTTGGACTTGATGCTGGTGATCTCAAGTGCTTCTATGTCGCTTCAATAAGGTCAATACTGGAATATTCATGCCAAGTTTTTCATTATGGCTTGCCACAATACCTATCTGATGTTATTGAAAGGATTCAAAAGAGAGCACTGCGCGTAATTTATCCTCAACTGTCCTACCAGGATGCTCTAGACATGTTAGAATTAAAGACTTTATCTACACGCAGGGGTGATTTATGTAAGAAACTTTTTAACTCGATTCTGGACAATGAGGACCATAAGCTTCACAACTTACTGCCACCTAAGCCTAAGGTGACATCCGATACATATAATTTTAGGAACGAAAAACTTTTTAATATTCCAAAATATCGTACTAATAGATATAGAGATACTTTTATAATATCTAGTCTAATAAACTCGTAAAAATTGGTATTTTATAATACAGAACTAATAGTTAAGAGATACTTTTTATAATATTAAATTAGGAATTTTTGTAATTGCTTTAAAGGGCATATGACTCGAAAATTGACTGTGTTATTTTTTAGTCTGATTTGAAAGATAATTGAAAACTGTAGAGTAACTTCTTTGATAGATTTTTGTTTTCTTGCCTCGTTTTGGAGATATTTCATTTTGTATGATATGCAAAGGACCAACTTCCTACGTCACACATGCATAATGATTTAGCCCTAAAACTAGCTGTATATTTTAATACGACTAAACACAGTCAGTAGAAAACCTACATGGGTGTTGTTGTGGACAAATCTCGTGCTCATCATTCATTTTGAGCGAATTTATTTGATAGTGACAAAATTATACAACATTTTAAAGTAAGTCATTATGCATGAGTGACGTAGAAAGTTGGTGCTTTGCATATCATACAAAATTAAATATCTCCAAAACGAAGCAAGAAAACAAAAATCTATCAAAGAAGTTACTCGATCTACAGTTTTCAATGATCTTTCAAATTAGACTAAAAAATAACACCGTCAATTTTCGAGTCATATGCCCTTTAAACACTTTGTATAAGAATCACGTAATTCAGCTCTCTATGCATGGCTGTTAGGTGTTTTTTAATAAACAGATTATCTATCTATCTATCTATCTATCTATCTATCTATCTATGTTTATCCCAACCCACCCTGTCAACTTTCCCTGTGGGAGGAAACCGCAGCACCCGGAGAAAACACACGACTTTCGGCAGAGCGTTGACTGACTCTTCACATGAGTCCGTAGCGAGAATCGAACCCACGATCTCAGAGGTGAAAGGAACACCGCGGAAAAACGTCTGCGCATGCACCAAATTATGAAAATATGGCGGGGAATTTGAATATCAATTTCTAAAACAAAAACATGCTTATTAATTGGTCAAAAATTAGTAACACAAACGAGAAAATATAGCAAATGGGTAGACTAGACATTAATTGAAAACGTCCTGGAATTTAAAGTATGGAATGAAATATAATTCATGTAAAAAAATGTTGATTTTAACGGACACGACTTCGAAAATTTTTGCAAAATTATTCAAAACAAAAATTCAAACTAAAAAGTTAAGAAAACTCTCGAAAAGTTAAGCTTCTTAACCCACTCAAATTGTAGAATAAATCCTAAAGTTTAATTATTGAGAACACGCAAATTTTTTATATTTGGCGACACAGTTTTTTTTAAAGAAATGTATCTCAAACGAAAATTCAGAAATTGTCATTGCTTAGTTGATAAACAAAATGTTTCAGACGATAAATTTGTCAACAATCACCTTTAGTTCATGTTCTTGTACAATACAATTTCTTGAACCTTCTGGCTGTATTTATTTCTAGTTTTTAGAATGACATGTTTATTTTTGCGCTTGAAATCTGGCTGTAAAGACGCACAATGAAGTCACTCCTTTTTACCGCCATTTTGAGCCTTCGGAAACGTTCGGAACAGCTTCTCGTCAAGTTCGCAATACTATTACAGGTAAGGTTGACGCATGCGCAGACGTTTTTCCGCGGTGTTGGTGAGATGCGCTTGCTCTGCGCCACTGAAGCCGCCTTATTTTTATCATTTCTATGCTCTTACCGAACAGTTTTTAAAAACAGAACCAACAGAGCTATCCAGTGAAAATAGCCTAGTTATAGCTCAGTCAGTCAGTATATTGTATGCTGTATGCATATAAGCGAAACATGTTTCAAATGATTTCTGAATAAGGTGTTGATAGCAATTCAAGCGAAATTGAGGCAGTGTCATTATGAAAGCAATTTGCCGTATGTTTATGATTCAAAGATTATATTATTATTACGAATATCTTAATTTATAATTAATACGCTATAGTCATTTAGGTTAAGTGTTTTCTTAATTGTTCAATAATTATATTCCAATCGTATAGTTGTGCCCACGCTCTTAATGACATAGATACAGACACATAATGAGCATAAAGAATCGTCCACCAAAGTTCCAATGTAAAGGCCCTGTCACACTATTGCGTATCGTACTAACGTATGCCAGTGTATGAAAAATATTGCTCATATATACGCTGACATACGCTAAGGGTACGTTGGGCATAGGTTGTCTATACGTTTCAAGCAGAAGCATACGGCGAAGCAGAAACTTTTTTTAAACATGCTTAAAAATTTTGTGCGTATTCGGACGTAGTGTTTTATACAATAAGCATACTCTAGGCACACGATGAATACGCTAGAGGTACGCCAGATGTACGGTACTCATACGCTGGCATTTTTTGACGGTACTCATACGTTGGGATTTTTGTGCGTATGAAAAGTTGATTTCATTAATTTTCATACGCTTCTCATATACGTTTCTCTCATACGCAATATAGTGTGACCGGGGCCAGGGCCTTAAATGAAAGCATGATGTTTTAGCACGGTACTTTAGGACCGATATTACAAAAGTTAATAACAAAAAACAGTTACATAGTTTTGAGATTTATACCGCACGGCAACAACACGCGTGAAAATCTCACGATCTGTGAAAAAAGATTTTTCCAGTTGTTGACAAGTCTGTAGGAACAACTTGTTATCATCTTGTAACAAGGTCGATGAGGACAACAGACTCGCAATAAGATGTTCCAATAAGTCTGAGTCTGTTACCGACATCAACCTTGTAACAAGGAAATAACAACTTGTTCCAGACTAGTTGCAACAACTGCGGGGAACATACAAGCAATGCGAACACATTCTTATATCGACTTGTTCAAACTTCGATCTCGGTTAAGGCACAAACACACCGGACGCGATTACAACGCGACGCGATTTTTTTATTTTCATTTACCGATAACTTCGATCCTAGTATAACTATAAGTTTTTCAAATATGTAAAAGCGCTATAACAGTTTGAGTTATTTGGTTTACATATCTTTCAGTAAAATTTCCTTTCATAGGCTATTTTATTGTAAACTTTCAAAAACTGAAAAATTGCGCCGCGTTGTCGAATCGTCCGGTGTATCTCGGCACGTTTTTACAAAGTAATATCGGATATTACTTTTGGGATTGCATTAATATACTTTACTTACATAGCAGGCGAAACATGTCCAATATTAACAACTTTCAGTAATTTCAAACCTCACGATACGCAAGTATTAATTCCTATGATTGCTATACTGTACAACCTCACGAACTCCCAAGGGAAAATTGTTCGAGTTAGCGCCGGGGGGTTTGAGTTAACTGGTGGTGTTTGTTGGATTTCGTTTGTTATGTTAATAAGGTATAGCCGTTTTGTAATTTCAAACCTCACGATACGTAAGTATTAATTCCTATAATTGCTATACAACCTCACGAACTGCCAAGGGAAAATCATTCGAGTTAGCGCCGGGGGGTTTGAGTTAACTGGTGGTGTATGTTGGATTTCGTTTATTATGTTAATAAGGTATAGCCGTTTTATTATTAATCACAATTGTGAGCCATCATGGTGCACCCTATAAAGAGCTTGCAAAGTTTGTACTACTGTTATCTAAGTTAAACAGTACCTATCACAGTGTTTAACAGTATACCTACCAACATTATACAGTTGTATTTGTATTGTATTTAATTATATTTATACACGGTAACCTATCAATTGATATTGATTTTCATAGGGCCGTGTAATGGCGTTTACAAGTAAGAGAATAGAATTATATATATTTACAATTTATCATTTAGATGCTGATTCCAGGTCTTAGCCCCCATAAAACTTCTCTTCATAGAGTTTGTATCAGTTGGTTTTGACAGTCTTAGAAATTTGCCGTTACTTCTTAAATTATAATTAAAATTGTTGCACTTTTCCGCAACAGTTAGCTAGATCATGCAGTAATGATCGACGCAAGTTGTCGAACCCTTTATTAGGGTTGGGCGGTACAGGGGAAAAAGCGAAAACCGTCGGGAAAAGCGGAAAAACCGATGTTTTTTATAATGAAAATTTCCTTATGAAAATTTAAAGGAAATTTTATAAAATAGTGGAAATACTGGGTAAAAAAATATGAATATTTCGGTCTTATTTTCGCTTTTGCACACATCTGAAATAAGGCAGGGCACAAAACGGGGGCCCGGGGCAAATTTTTCTTAGGGGGCCCCTAGTCAAAAATTTTTTTTCGGAAAGAAATGTTTCGGACTCCAATCTCTCCCACCCCACTCCGGTGGGAATTTCCTGCAAATTTTTCATACCAAATTTCGGTTCTTTGCCTCCAAAACACAAATATTTTGACCCCAAAACGGAAATATTTCGCGCGGCAAAAAAATGACTGGGGCCCAACAAAAAATTTCTAGGGGCCCCCAGAATCTCTGGGCCCGGGGCATTTTGCCCCCCCCCCCCTGCCCCCCTCTCGGCAGGCCTGTCGCTATTTCTGCAAGTTTCAAGTATTTTCCCGATTTTTTCCCCGTTTTTCGGTCAAAAATGGATTGAATCGGTTTTTTAAAAAAATCGTTTTTTTCGGTTTTATCGATAAACCGCCCGACCCTACCTTTATTACGTTTGTATATATTATAAGACCAATTAAATTGCCGTTGTCTGTTAGAAATCCAAGCTTCCGACTTGTCAATGTGCTACTGATGTTGTGAAATATTTGAGGTTTGCTGATCCAAGTTCTCAAAAATGATACAGTTCCAGTTAACCGGGTAAATTTGACCAAGGGAAAATGAAATTTGTTCAAGTTAACGAGGTTCGGGTTGAGCGAGTTCGAGTTAACCCGATTAAATTAGAGTTAATCCGATTAAATTACTGTAAAAATTGGGTCAAATCCAGGGGAATTTGGATTTAGTTCGATTTAGCGAGGAGTTCGACTTTAATTAAGCGAGTTTGAGTTAGCGTGATTCTACTGATAGAACCGATGAATTTCAGTTTTTCACC